AAAATAAACTACGTGAAAATTTTTATTTTTTTTAAATATTGGCAATCAGTTATGATCGAAGTGTAATTATTTTGTTTGCACGAGTTAATCGATAATCGTAAAAACAAAAGACACGAAATCCAAATTTCTGTTGTTATTCTGTTCCAAAACAGAAGGTTCAATTTTGACCGATTCGGCCGGTCAAAAGTCGATTTTAAAATTTCACTTGAACTTGAAAAAAATTTGCGCCACTTAAGAGTAATTAAATATACTTCGTTGTATGACAAATATTATCGGACTCTTGAAATTCTTCGGAAATAATTTTCACGTTCTAAAGATAATATTTTCGTTATCGATATTCCTCGAAACTTTACGTTTATAACAATAATATTACATATAATAGTTTATACAAATTTATACAATGATATTAAATAATAATATAATAAGAGGGAAAAGAAAAGATTCTGTTTCCACATTTCCTTTTTTCACAGCGAATTTTATTATACGACAGGTTATGAAAATTATCTCGTTTTGAAAATTAACCTCCCCTTTCTCGATTAATTAAACGAAAATTAGCTACGACGATATACGATCGTACATTACAAACAGTCGTCACATTTTATCGAAAAAAAGTCGATAAACGAAAGTTACGTTCTTAATTTTAACCGGCTTAAATCACCCAGTCCAATCGGTCCAACCAAAGTTTGAATGATCGATAAGAAACTTCTCGCCTCCCCCCTCCCTTCCTCCTCAAAGATTTCAATCGCTCAGCCAGCTGACCGAGCTTCAGCCTCCTCTCGACTATTCGATTAACCAACTTGTGGTGTCGAGACAGAGACAGACAAACAGAGAGACCACACACACACACACACACACACACACACACACACACACACACACACACACACAGAGAGAGAGAGAGAGAGAGAGAGAGAGAGAGAGAGAGAGAGAGAGAGAGAGAGAGAGAGAGAGAATGACAAAATACGATTCAATATATACATATAAAATACTTGGTCTATTTAAGAAGTCGCGAGAGAATATGACAAAAAACGATATATATATATATATATATATATGTGCTTGATCTATTTAAGGAATTCTTTGTAGGTCGAGAGGAGGAAGATGTTTCGTTCGCACGCAAGAAAAGATGAGGATCGAGATTGTTTCTTCCCCGCTCGATTGTTGATCGAGTTTTCCAAAGCTTGGGCGGAGGGAGAAAGAAGGCTGGTTTCCAAGTTGGAGAGGAACGAAAGCGCCGCTTTAACGGTTCAAACCACTTTCCTAGGGACGAGACGAGACGAGACGAGAGAGTGCGGTGAACGAGCATCTCGAGATGCACTCGAGATGAGCGCGAGTAATGCATCGGCAATTTTTTTCTCTCTCCACGCTTAACGCCGAAATTATTAATTATACCGGCGGGTGAAAAGAGAGCAAGAGTTTCATTTATCGCGCCTAAATTAAATTTCTTATCTTTGCGGATAACCACGAGTGAGTTTCTTTGAATTATTGCTAATAACTTAACAGATATTATAAAAATTGCATATTTCGAATGGAATCGAATTTAAGAGTAAATAGTTTGGAATATTCGATGCGAATATCGAAATTACGTTAAAATCTTTCTTAAAAAGTTTCGTTCGTTCCATCTATCATCACTCGTAATCGAAAAGATCGTATCGTTCGTTTCACGATCCTCGTCTAAAGTACGAACAACTTGACGAATTTTATCTATCTTCCAAAATCTATCTCCCGTGAAATAAATTAATTGGCCAAATTCGTGAAATGAAATCCGTACAACGTTTTACAAACGTTGGATAATCGTTGGCGCTTGAAATTCGGTGCACACCTGTGTTCGAGATTACCGCAAGATTCGCCAACAATTTCACGGTTAACCTTGGACGACTCGAATCGGGAGGAAAGAAAAATGAGCGAACACCGAGTCATTCAATGACAAGCCTTGGCCTGGCAATGGTGTCAATGGCATATCGCGAGACGAGAGGGAATTTTGAGATGATCTACCTACCTCCGATAACGAGCATCATCACGATAATTTGCTTAAAATTCGACGTAAGAAAAAAGAAACTCGTCCCCTTATATCGGATCGCATCGATCCATTAACACTTTTATCTGAAATACTCTTCACTCTCCTTCGAATCACGAGTAACAGAAGTGGCCATTAGAAGAAAAGGAGGAGGAGGAGGAGGATTCTAATCAGAGTTGAGCATTAATCCGTCGAAAAAATAACTGATTAAAAATTTCGAATAAAGTTATTACTTTAAATAATTAAAACGCTCGAATAACATTTATACAATATATAATTATTATTATATAATTATTACAACTGACTGTTATTTGTCATTGAGCATTATTACGTTTCGAACGATAAATTATCGATATAAAAAAATATAAATTATCGCGCAAAATTTCTTTTTCAATCTCGCTTAAATCTAGGAGCAAAAATCTAAACGAGCGATGATAAAGTTGAGAAAATTGAGAAAAGATGGGATTTAAATTTTTATCCAAAATCACGGAATAATCGAAATGGCCGTTTCGCGAAGAAGAAGAAGACGAGGAGGAGGAATCCCAATAAAATGGAGAAAGGAAGGGGAAATCCAAATGCATTTCTACGAGAATGATTAAAAACGAATAAATCCTGGATTTATTCGTATTTCGCTGATCTTGGCGTTGAATAAAAGGCGGCGCGAATGACGCGCATAATGCGGCCGAGAGAGAACAATAGGAGAGTGCAAGTATGCGGCGTCGATTCGACGATGCCGTCATCCAAAGTTATCGCGCGCCACCGCCCTTATCCTCCCTCTTCTTCCTCGTATTCCTTTTCTTCTTCTCCTTTCTTCGCCCCCCCGCGCTCTCCCTCCCCCCTCTCCTCCTCCTCTTCCGCGCGCGCTTCTTATTTCGAAAGAGGGATACGTGGTCGGAACAGGAAACGCCATGGGAGAGTGAGCAATCGGTATTCCATAGCTGTGTCGCCGAGAACCGGACCTAACCTCTCTGCGAGATCCACCATTTCTAACAGCCTCGAAAATTTCCTTTTTCTCCCCTTTCCGAATCCTTTAGAAATCTTTCTCGAACGAAGTTGGAAGAATTTTTATTTTTATCCGAAGTTGGAAGTGAACGAAAGTAAAAAAATTTATAATTGGACATTTTAAAGGAGGAAGCAATTTTAAAGGATTGGCAGAGAGGCTAATATGCTGGTGGCAACGCGATCGGGCCTGCGCGCCGTCAAATGCAAATCCGCTTCGGTGCCGCGACGTGAAAAAATGTTATACGAGTCGGGACGAGTGGCGAGCGTGAACGTCTCGATATCGATTTCGTGAGCGCAAATCGATATCCGTGGCTCGGTTAACGGACACCGTATCACGAATCGAAGTCACGGGGTGCTTATCGCCGAGAAAGTCTTTCTTTTCATCCCAATTTCCATGATCGAATTATAAACCTAGCAAATGAACAATAACGTATTGAAAATGTAAATTAATAATAGAATCGAATGAATCAACATTTATCCGGTGTATAAATGGGAATTTTCGAAACAGGAAGCATCGTTACACGGAAGCGGTAAGGTTTTCAAAGGATTTCGAGAAAATCTGTGTGCGATCCTCTGTGTCGAAAACCGTATCCGTGGGGAAAAGAATCGCGAGAACCTGCGTCGTCAGAGGGGGAAGGGGGAGAGGGAGGGACGAGAGCACACGTTTCGAGGCACTCGCTATATCCATAGAAAAGTGGGCTGTGATGTCAATGGGCGCATTCATTCGCACCTGTACTCTCTACCCTCGTCCATGAATAACTTCAAGGTGATTTTCCTAAGCCATTCGAGAAAATCATCTCCTCGTTTACCTTCTCGTGCACGATCGCGTTAAAAATTCATTTGCACTCGAGATACCTCGCCTCGATCGACTACCTTCTTAATTCCTTTTAATCAGTTTTATCGCATTGAATTAAACTAGTTCGTTATATCTATGCGCTATATATTTTATTTTGCGTAAGGAAAAACTGGTTTCACAAACAAACGAGTCGTGTATCGAGAAGAAACGAGAATTCGAGAAACATATATATATATATATGTATTCGTTTGAAAAAATCTAAGGTATCCGAAGTAAAATATTTCAAAGGTAAATCCATAGGAATGTAGGTTTAAAAATAGAAATAAAGATTCCATGATGCAACCGTGAACAGGTTGGGAAACGCTGGGATAGAGCGAGCCGCTGCATCGCGAGGTCTGGAAAACGCATTGTTTAGGCTGCGCTTACTCTAGCGGTGGGTGTGTCACGAGCGTGAAATACCGGCCAAGTGACTATCGAGGAAGAGAGGGAGACGAGAGTTCGCTTTGCCTCGACCCATCTCGATCCGAACCAATACACCGATTACACTCCGCTTTCTATCAATTAATCGATACACTTTCAATGGGCTATCGGATAACCGAGACGTTTCGATCAAAAGTTCGAAGAAACGTTCGTTTATGAGAATATTACCGATCGCCAAACTGTATATATATACATATATATATATATATATGTCTGCTCGTATCTATCTGCTTTTTTCTTTTCTTTTTTTAAACACAAATTCTACGTCGATATCACGTGATTATCGTGTTATTATCCTCGTTTGCACTATATAATCGCAAAGTGAACGAGTAAAGATGAAAAAAAAAAAAAAAGAAAAGAATTCGAGTTGTTGCCCTTTGCTGTATCTCTCGATAATGGAGATTTCTCGCACGAAGCATGTTCACCGCGACATCTAACAGTAACCTGCCGAGTTCTCACTGCATCGACGAGGCAACAACAGCCGCATAGGTGCAACTCGATACAAGTTGTAGGGAACTGCGACAGATTCTCGCGTTTTCTCGCCGATTTCTCTCTCCTCGCGCGTTAATAATAACAAAAGAAGAGACGCAAACACTAGCAACGCGTTTCGAATATTGGTGAAATTCGTGCTGGCTTGATTTTGAGGTTAGGAGGAAGATGAAGGTTTGGAATAGAAAAGAGACGAACGATTTTGTTGTTACTCGCCTGCAAATGGGCTTGTTTCCGTCACGTTCATCCGGTGGACCCAGGAAATTGGCGTCGTTCACCGCCGAAGACGTGGATCCCCGCGGCGACCTTGGGCCACCCTCCACTTCTCCGATCAAGACTTCTGTTTGACCATTTTGGAAAGGGCTGCTGGCACGTCGTTCCCCGACTCTTCCGCCTTGCACCGGTGTCTGGAAGAATGAATCACCGTCACACCGAAAATTCACGCGTAATATTTCGCGAATTGAAGTCGTCGAGGAGACTGCAACGTTTTTCGTTTCGTCGCAAAACGAAGAAACGAGTATCACGATTCACCAATGCTTAATTTTCAATGGTTAATGTTCGATTCTCCGCAACGTTCGACTTGGCAATTAATTATGCAAGAACGAATGGAGGATGATAAATTATAATTCCGGGAAATGTTTACCTCACGGTTAACCAATAATCGCACGGACATAAGCGTTTACATAAGCGTCGTGAAGGAGAAATCATTTTTTTTTTTCTTACCTCTATAAAGTATAAAGATAGAAGCGTAACCACGAGAATCGCTTTCAAGGATATCGAAAACGATATAGATACTCTCTTTTTAATCTCGCGATAATTGCGATCGACCTTCATTCTCTCTCTCTCTCTCTCTCTCTCTCTCTCTCTCTCTCTCTCTCTCTCTCTCTCTCTGGGAAAAAATTAACTCTTTCCTTCATCAGATCATTTCTTTCTCCAGATCATAAATTGGAAAGGACACGTTCCACTCACCAAAAGTTTCGTCTCTTCGGAAGAGCTCTGTTGTTGTTGTTGTTGTTGTTGTTGTTGTTGTTGTTTCTCCGTTCTTTCGTCCTTCGCTCCTCGAATTTCCTTCGCGTCTTTCCCTAACCCTTTAGGAATGCTACCGTTGCTGAGCTTGGTGGTGAAGACATTCGTGCTCGGCTCCCTGGGACAGAGAAAACTCTGGGTTTAAATATTGCAGGAATCCACGAGACTGTCTAAGGTAAATGAAAAAAAAAAAAAACGACGCGGTATGCGCAGTGATATCGCGATGGGATATCAATCACGGCTATTTCTCGCGTCCGGTTCTCGTGTAATTGTACTTCCCATCGCGTGGCAACTTTTCGCGTTTTCACGTGATCGACGCAGTGTCGATCGAAACGAAACGAAACGAATCGAATCGAATCAAATCGAATGGAAACCGTTAAGCTTTCGTCCCGAATAAAAAGCGCCGTTGTTCGCGATTTCGAAAGATCGTGGATGGATCGATTGGAAATGATCGAAATTCGTAAAAAAAAAAAAAAGAAAATGTGGATGATACACAAAGAGGAGGCGGGTTTGGAAAAACGCGTAAAAGGAAGAATAGAGCGGAATAACGATCGACGAGGGAATAAATAACGGAAGAGAAACGGGGAAGAACGAAATGCCACTTACTTGTCGGCAAGCGTCACGGTAATTTGGTTGCCCGTCACATTTTTGCCCGCGCTGTCCCCGCTCGTCGACGCGACTGCCTCGTTGATCTGCACACACACATACACGTACCAGATACCAAACAATCAGCTGGCTTCGCCTCTACCGGACGACCGTTCTTTCTCCCGGAAACAAAGAGATTCCGACCACGTTTCCCGATCGATACCCTCTTTTTTTTTTTTTTTTTTCCTCTCCCTTCCCTTTTTTCCTTCCTTCGTTACAAGCTCGATCGACAAGAGACAAGAGAGATGAGACGAGGGAAGGAAAGATGCGAAAAATCGTGGCAATCATTTTTTTTGAACCGCAACCTGTGGAATGGACACGTTATCCAAGGCCGCGCATGATCGTGGCAACCGTTCACTCGGCTCGTTTACTTTGCATTCCACATATTATAAGCAATCCGTGACGATTTCTCTGTCGATTCGTTCGCGCATCCTTCGAATAATAGTACTCCCCGACTGGAACGCCATATCGATAGAATACGCGGATGGAATAGGAACTAATTGCTCGAATATTTTATCTCGGCGTTGGCCGTCCAATTGAACCAACTCCGATCGTATTGTTCTCTCGTCGTCGGTAACGTACACTTCAACGTTTCTATCGCGATTATTACGTAAAACGAGGAGGAGGTATCTTTCGGTGTGGTGAAAGGCCTGTACACAATCTTCCTTCGAATTGCAAAGGGCATTCCCGTATAATTGCCAACTATCCCCGCATAATTATTTGTTTTATTCGTTACCTAGCGGAAATATTCCTATTACCTCGTTGCAAATTTCACTCTTTCCTTCCATATCTTTTTTTCGACTTCCATATCTTTTTTTTCTATTATCTCCCACATTCTTATCCTTTTTCTTTTTTCGTATCGTTGGAATCTCTCTTTTTCGGAATTTCTTGTTGCCATTATCTCTTTCTTATACGATTCCAAAGCCTCGATCAAAAAAAAAAAGAAAAAAAAAACGTAGTTTTTTAATTAATATCAATCGTTATTCGATACTTTATCATTCAATACTTATTATCGTAGAAACCACTGTACCTGCTGGTGCAGAATCGCTTGGATATCCCGCGGTTGGATTCTCCAGTGAGATGCCAGCCGCTGCAATCGTTCCTTTGCACGCCTGCAACGAAAAATCCTCCGGATGAATCGCGTAAAATTAGAAGGTCGCGGAAAGTGCCAACATTCCGAACAAAGAATGCGTTGCAAGAAAATATATATATATATTTGAATATTAATCAACGAATTTCTGTTTCGTTAGAAATTATTGATCGCTCTTTACAAATGTGTAATTACCTTTCGACGGCGATGACCCAAGCTTCTCGAACCCGACCAGCGTTGAACCCGTCCAGCTCTACTGTCAACAATTTCAAAAAGCGATTAGTCGCGAGAATAACCTTCCCTCTCCATTTTTTAATACTACTTCCAATTTCTTTTTTGTTATTTTCTCCTACTGTAACAACATCCACTTTTCGTGTGTCTTTGTCTTACTCTTTGGAATCAAAATCTAATTTGTCTTATCCTATCGTAATAAGTTAGCGGATTAAGTGGACCTAATCCTTTCCGCGGAGAGTGTTATACCATTTTCAAACACCGCCACCTCATCGTCATCCGTCTCCTCCTCCTCCTCCTCCTCGTCTATGAACTTGATGGTGGACAAATCGAAGTGCGTCGCTATATCCTCGTCCAGATGCTCGTCGCTCGCCGAGAATTCAATCGACTTTGGCCCATCCTCGACCACGGACTCGTCGACCACGAACTTTTGCCCGTCGATTCCCCTCGAGTTGGACGAGCATCCGCACAGGAATATTCTTCGAAACAATCTCGACATATTCTTCTAACTATTCTCTCTCTCTCTCTCTCTCTCTTTCTCTCACGAATTAATTATCCTCGCTTCGAACATGATTCCTTCCTCGGCGACGCACTTTCTCAAATTTTCCCCTCGAAACGGAACGAACGAAATCCTTGGCCGAGACGATGGAACGGAAAGCGACGGAGGGCGACGGTTCTCGCGCGCGTGTCGCCGAAACCATAGAAAATAAACGCTCGACCGGGGCCGGGAATGGATGGCACCGCGAGCCTACGAACCAAGAGGTTTATATTTGGAACCGCGCATTGGTACGGGCCGAGAGAGCGGGCCGGTAAAAATCGACGGGAGGAGTAGTGTCGCGGTCTCGCGTCCCTCGCTTCGAACCGCTTCGCGTCACGATCATACCCACCGGATTCGCCCAACATTTTTCTTTCTCCCGCTCGATACTGAAAATTCGCGTACGATTTTTTTTTTTTTTTTTAAATCTTAATCGGACAGCGGAATTTTGAACTCGTCGACCCGAAAACAGAATTTTCATTATTTTCTCCGCGTGGCGTTTCACGACCCAGCGAACCGGCCTCTATAATGGAATCGCGGCTATTAAATTCGACCACGACACACACACACACACACACACACACACACACACACACACACATCAAATTACACGCGAATTTTATCTTGGAAAAGAGTTTCCTCTTTAAGGAGGATATTTAATTAATTCGATGATTAATTCATCTTAGAAATTCATTCCGTTTTATTGTCCATAAAAGGATTTCGTTTTTTAAATGAAAATTATCAAAATCGAAGAAACGGATTATTCGTCTCGTTTATATCATATTTTTCTCAGTTATCCTCTCTGAAAATTTTTGTTCGAAGAGCGAATTGCCAATCGTTCGGTTGCGTACAAAGTTTAAAAGAGAGGGTCGAAGGATAATCGCGGGGAAGCATTGTCGAGGAAAGGGGAGGGGGGTTACGACTCGTTATCTCGAGTCAGGCGAATCGAGCGGTGCGATTCGCGGTTGTTGAAAATATCGTGGCGGGAGAAAATTCGCAGCAATCCCTCCCCCTCCCCTTCCTCCTCCTCCCCCTTCCTTTTTCCAACTAGCTTTTGGCGCCAAGCCAAAACGTGCTTGAACGCCGCCGCGAGTCGACGGATTCGGAGAAAGTGCCAACTCCCCCTTTTCCTGTCCCGACAGACGATTTTTCAAGGGCGAGCCGCGTCATCTTCAGATAGACGAGACAGCTTTGGATCGTTTTCCAACGAGCGGCGATATCGTTACGAGGACAAAAATTTTTCTGTATTTCTCGTTTATCGAGCCGTTCTTTGTTCTCTTCCTCCTGAATAAACACGAGGTGAATCATCATCCGTGCTGCCATTTACACCTGTGTCTCTGGTAGAGGTGGACATTTCTTCTTTTCGTTTGTAGATGTATCGAGAGAAGTTTCGAGAAAAAAAAAGAGAGAGAGAGAGAGAGAGAATAGAAGGAAGGAAAAATTCGTTGCGAATTTTTCCGCGTGTTCGAGAGTAGCGCGTGATCAAAAAAAAAAAAAAAATCTGGGTCAAACAACTCCTGCGCGCCCGCAAGCTCGCGCGACGAAGCTCTGGTGAAATTTCTCGTTTCGTATTAAACGGGGGGGCACGCGCGAAATTCTTCGAGAAAAATTAAAAAAAGGGAAATTTTCCGGCTGTTTCGAATTGGTTGCGAAAATCTTGCATGTCTGTTAAATAGGTTCAAAAAGAAATTTTTAATACGTGAACATTTTCTCTCCGGGACGAGGAAGACTCTCCAAAGGTAAATCTTGCGGAAAATTATGGGGAGTCACGGTCGAACGTGCGCCGATTTCGTTGAATTCGGGTCGAGCTGAAATCGGTGGCGTGACAACAACACTTTTTTAACCGTAGGATAATCAAAAGAGTTGACCGGTTTCGTGACGTTTTTATTAATGCCGAGATAAATAGTTTACATTTGTTACCGATTCATCGTGATCCAGCGTTTCTCTTATTTATTTAAATACTCTTCTATGGCTATATGTGTATTTGTTATACTTTTTTGGGATAAATAAATATAAAACTATTACTTTTTGGATCTCTGTGAAGATTTAAAAAAAAAAAAAAAGAAGTGAAAAATGCGTGATAATAAAATTTAGCGCGTGTTTATCTCTGAAAACTTGCAGCCACGTAAGCACAAACGTAGAGATGACTCGATGCTGGCACACGCGCGTGTCTCGCGTGAATGCAGCAAATGCTGAAACGGTGTACGGTACACGGGAGAAGCGGTAAGGTAAGATTTCGATAATACTTGATTCGTAATATACTTGACGCACGACCAGGCGAAAACCAGTTTTCTAACTGTACACGCTTTCGCATCGTCTCACCATCTGTCTCATATTTTGTAATTGGACGGTAGAAGTCACTCATCGTACGCACTATTATCGTGCTCGTAAACGTTCGCCAGACATCGATATTACATTTACGATTTTTAAAGAATTTTTGCTCGAGATCGATAAACGTTCAATCATCTGTGTGGGTAATAAAAGTACGAGGCTTTCCTAGAATAACTAGATAGTTTAACCTATCTTCGGATCAGAGCGGAAATAGGGCGTTAACTGTAGCGGAATTCTCCGAGAAAATAATTGTCCGAGAATGCGTTTCACTAGAAATTCTTTCTACGAATATCGCGTGATTTTATTAAGAAGTCCGTCTATTATTACTTGACGCGAAACGTTCGAGCCATTCTTTCGCGCGGTTACGTGAAATTCCTGAAATCGTTGCATTCCTTCGGCACCAGTGTGGAACGCGACGTGTTCCTCTTCGTCACAAGGTGAAAGTAAAATTCGATTAACGACGACCGCTTTCAACTCTGCCATGAGGGCCAAATTCGATTCACACCGCGATAAGATCGAACCATTAGCACTGGAAAATACGTATCCTAAATTACATCGCATCGATATCTACTATGAAGCAATTAGAAGAACGTTCTTATTTAATTTACCAAATGTTGATAATGGAATTCAATCTTCAATACCGTTGTACTACTCGATATAATTTAAATTATTCCGGAAATTTATATTTCGAAAATTTTTAAACTTCTTAATTCTATTCGTTCTTGTTAAATCGCATAAGTGAATTAGAAACGAGTGGCGTCTGATCTTCTAAAAATATGGAAAAAAATTCCATATTTTTACCACTTACGAAGATGATCTGATAATTAAACAAATGATGGCGCTAAACCCATATGCATATATATTTTTCGCCGATCTATTTTTTTTTTTCTCACCCCTCGCCGTCATACGTCATCATGATCGTCATCGTATGTACACATTCCATGCATGCATAATTTATGTTATCTCGTAGTTCACGATACTGTCCGCGAGAGCTCGTGTCCCGTCTTCCACCTACGGTACCTATCCTTTCTTTTCCTACTTCCTCTCTCCAGACCGTTCGCAACGCCATCCAGTAATTGTCTTGTGCTCGCCGTGCGTGTAACTCTTCCTTGTTTTCTACGGAACTATTCACTCGAGCTCGAGTGCCAATCGATAAATGGGAAATCCTCGAATTTACAGCTCGCTACGGCTCGATTCTCCAACAATTTTCTATTTTTCCTTCGTATCGTCATCGCATATATTACCAAAGAGAAACAAACAAACGACTCAGGTTAGGAAAGGTTAACGCACCGAATAACGGATGTACGTTCCCATCGTCAGCCATTCGTTTCCGTATTACGTTGAAATACTGCAATATTTCTATAATTTACCGATCGAATTCCGAAATACTTCATCTGGAAGTATATAAAAAGATCGTCGTTTATATTCCTATTGAATGTAGATCGTTTGAACGAAAATACGGCGATGTTTCGTATATAGTGAAATCAAAAGATACGAATTAAATCCGTTTCACAATTGATGAAATATAAATCGATTTTTTTTAAAGAAAAATTTAGAAAAAGGCAAGAGAGAAATAGAACTCGTATGTGAAAGTGTCTTGATAGGAAAATAAAGACTATTCGTGGAAACGAAATCAACGAGGCAACGATTCGGGAAAAAAATTGAAACACACGCTAACTTGATACGCATGCTGCACCCCAACCGATTGTTGCTCTTCGTCCGCAAAACATTCCCATTATTCGCGATAGGCAAATACAAGCAGTAGCGCGCGTGCGTACGTATATATAAGTACTTTTATCGGGCTGGCAACTAGCGAGTAACATATTACCACCAATACAGCAACGTGAGCGATTTTTCCTGTGAAATGTGCGTTAACTCTGCCGACACAGATCGCGTGGCGTTTAACTTATCGATTTCGAGAATCGAGAAATTCCGCTCTCGCGATAGAAAGTTTAATTCAAAGCATAAATGCATTTAAACATAATTGTCCATAGTTATGCATTTTTCGATCTTTTGCGAAATCGTTCGATCATTAAAAATTATTCATTTTGAAGAGATTCGCTTAATTATTGATCAAAGATTCATAATTTTAAATTTATTCATCACACGTATCATATATATACAATTTCAACTATCGAAAAAAATCGCTCATTAAGCTCATTATATATCGAATAAATCTATTTTTATTGTTACTATAGCTACTCTATTAGAATTTGGAAATATAAATAAGGATGAGAAAGGAGAATCAGAAGACATATCTTGAATTTTTTATTTCAAACGATACGGAATTCGTTTCGACAATTCGACAATTCACGAACGATATATTCTACTAGTTAGGTTAATTCACGAAAAAATCGTCTCGCATTGCATCTTCCTATTGCATTCTATTTTAGTTATATTTGACACCGATTACCTATCTAATTGAGAAACTGCTACCGCGACAGATTTTTCGTATTCGTTTTCACGAATGGAAACGTAGCTGTTAACGTGTCACATAGCGATGATACATTATTCGACTGAACGAATCATCCATTTTTGCGACTAATAACCAACAAAAATTCATTTTTCGCGGTCACATAAAATAGAGCCTACATAACGCCCAAAGAATAAACGTGATTGCGCAACACTCGAGCAGAGGACGAGCGAAACATGGCTTTAAAAAGCAACGTCACCGCGAAAGGAAAGAAACAAAATGAGGAACAATCACCTTCTGTATCGATAGATCCGCCCGCACTGATCGACGATTTAAGGATAACCAATTAAGAATCACACTTTGATTTCGGACCTCGGTAAATCAAACATCCTCCGAAATCCTGGATTATTTCGCGGACGAACCCAACTGCCATCTGGTTCTTCTACGTCTCTCGATTCCCTCGACCGGTAAGACAAGCGGGAATGCGAATCACAACAGGCACATACACAAAAACAGAGACACGAGTGCACAGAGACACCAAAAATTCGCGAACAGATAAATACAACATTGAATGTATTCACATGGACGACAAATAGGTTTTCTAGTTGCGCGAAAAGAACCGCGGTGTCAGAACTGCCACGATGAAAAATCGCGCTGGCAAAATTGAAACGAGAGGTTAGGAGGACGATAAGAGCACGCGGAATGCCGCGGAACCGTTGGCACGTATGCACGGTTCCGTACTAGCAAAGATTGAACGTGACAGCGGATACATTCGAAGGTTAGATTCCCTCGATTCGTGTATACTGTTTGCCTCTCGCTTGAGTTCCCTCTACGCTATAACCCCCTCTATTCGTTTCCATTACACACAAGCGGCGACCTGAACATTTACCTGGCGAACGCCGGAATCGCACGAGAAAACACGAAATCGGCCGACAATTTTATCTGCCCGAACATTCGAATTTTTGAGACTACATTTCGAAGAGGGTAATTTCGAAAATGAAATAATTTTATTAAGAAACGATTTATAAAGATAGATGTTTTAATCTTTATTTTAATAACGATGTAATAAATATATAGATTTCTATTTTATATTTTCTACAAAAAAAAAATCGATCGAAAATTTGCAATATCATTCTGTTCATTTATGATATTATATAATTAAAAATCATTTAAAACATCTTCTTTTTTATTCATAAAAAATTTTTTTTGTTTATTAAAATAACTAATAAATATTTAATAAATAATTTAATAAATATACTTACCCATTTTGTTTCCGCTTCTCCTCCGCACTCGCAGACATATCGTTCGAGACTCGATACACTACGAAAAGAAACGATTCGATTATCGATAGATTCATCGATATTCATCCTATCAATTTCTAACTACTACTAAATATATAATATTGTATTGTGAGAAAAATGTCTAATTATAAAATTCTTTAAATTTGTAACAACAATAATAATAATAAAATCTTATACAAATAAATAAAATACCTGATATATATACTGAATAACTTCGGATTGACTGGCATTTTCTAACGTGCTACCGTTAACTTGTAAAATTTCATCAGCCACTTCCAGCGTATCCGCGTTGTCGGCCGGAGAACCTAGAAATTTGAATTTGAAACAATGAAACATAATATTTAGTTCAAATTAATCGTGAAACGTTTAAATATTAATTAAATATATATATACATATGAAGTGATAACGAAGTGTGTTTGTCATTTTATGTATATTCTTTTTTTCTTTTTCGACTTTAAGTCGAAGAAGAAGATACATATGTGAACAAATAGTATGTACATATTACACAGAACGAACGGACAAGCCAATTCGTTTCTATGTCAATGATTACACATGATAGCATCCTCGAGAAAAAAACACGAGAAATAAAAGAGAGAAAGGGTTTCACAGTTCACGCCTACGTGCTTGACAAGCAGCTTTGTCGATGCTCATTAAAGTATATGTAGCTGGTGCTAATTAAAAAAAAAAAAAAAAAAAAAGAAAGAAAAATAGAAAGGGAAAAGAAATGTTTTTGGATTTTTAATAAACAAAAAGCAACGAATTATGTGACGCAATCAATGCTCACCGTACAGTTTGATCTTGTCATTGTGGTTGATCAATATGATAATATATCCTCCTAGATCGACCATTTTTGCTGACTTCGGCGATGATTGCTGGTTTATTCGATTATAAGGAGAGAACGATGCTTCAGGCGAATCTTGACGCGATTAAAATCGAAGATAAGCGCAATCGCCTCATCATCATCGAAAAAATAATTCGCCGATATTAATGTTGTTATCGCATGCCATCCTTTCCATTTCCTCTTATATCTTCGCATCTCATTTTACCATTATCGCGATCGATATTTTTCACTAACAACACCCACATTTCCGTAAGTATAAACATTAACATTCTTTCTCTTTCTCTCTTTTTTTCTAATTTTTAAATTTCCATGAATCAAGATTTCAATCGAATTTGACACAGTTTTCACTCGATTGAGAACCGAACGAATTATCGAATAGCCCCGAAAACTTTGAATTTCACTAATAATTAGCTAATGATGTTATATTTACGTACACCGATTAACAATTAAGATGACAAGAAAACTAGCAGTTCGTATTCTTTAAAAAAAAAAAGTTAACGAACACATAACATTCTTTGACTGCTGGTTATTCCTCTTGACAATATGTTGATATTACTTTAAGATCTGTTACAAACTTGTGATATCACAGGAGAAATATCTTTCTTTCTCTTTCTCTAACTCTCCAACTCTTTATGTTTTAGTGTTTACGAGTATGATGAATTTATAAAGAATCTTCTTTGTTTTTGATATTAATACGTTCAAACAGTTTGAGAGGAAACCCTCACTGGGGCCCCGAGTATGGGCCCCCCTACATCCTTGCAATGAAGATTTCTTCCTCGAACGATCAACGAATTCAGAATCCCTCAAGCCCTAACTTATTGATTAGAGCTTTCACTGAACACGACTCCTCGCTTGCTTCGGTCATTCTGACTGCTTGCATCCTTGAGTGTATAAGTTTTCTTGAATGACATTTGGGAATCGTAAAAATGTCTCGATTTATCGAGACCGGAGTAACGCAGACTATCCTCATGCTAACTTCTTCTCACTTTCCGTCGACGGCAGATTTCAATTAAATATACATTTTCCGATAAAATCTCACTATACATAAAAGTACAAAATCGTCGTTTAAATGCAAAATTTTTACGATTTTACGATTTTCCTCTCATTTGTTGTCTATATTATCTTCATTCTATCCCTCCCTCAAAGGACACTTACGACATCTCGCTTTCACGCAGGATTAGAAATAAATTTCACGAAAATGATTAACCTGTATTTTCAACGAATGTTCGTAAAATTTATATATCACGATATATATATATATATATATATAACGTATCTTCTTTTGTCTCTGCTGAACGATCTCGTAAACTAGTAATATATTCAATCACTTTGATCTACCCTGAAGCACATCACACTTTTTTATATTAGATTAGAAACAACATTTCCGACAATAATACACAATTTGATCTCATCGATTCACAACACTGTGGAACTGCTTCCTTTTAAAGTCATTCTATCCATTTCCCGCGATATCGAAGCTTTAAAATGTATTGTCGAAGATGGGTGTGAACCTGTGCGTGTTAACCGACGGCGGCAGCAGCCCTGACATCCCTTGTCATCTGCTGATTTCCATCCCTCGCCGCAAAGCGGCGACAGTAGCGGTTGGTACAGCGCCGTCGTTATTCTCGTGGCGGTAACCCCTCCATCTTTGACTTCATTACCAATCCTATCGTTTTTATCTTTTATTCTATTATTTTTCCATAAAATTCTTCTTGTTCCTATTCTACTTTTATATACTATTGAAATAAATATATTTTAATATATAAATTATTACATTATAATTTATAATTGAATTGATTACCATATATTTTTTTAATGTATAAATTAAGAAATTAATGAAATATCTATTTTCATATATTTTTTATATTGTTTAAATATCTTCTATGTTTGAAAAATTCATCGTTTATTGAATATATTTTATTTATTATATATAATATAATATATAATATATAATATTTTATTTATTAAAATGAACTCGTATGCGAATAAGAAAATTAAAGATTTTTATGAAGAAGCAGATAGAGCATGTAATCAATATTAAGGATGTTATAATTACCTGTCTTTTTGATGTTATATTCTTTCAATTTTCATCTTACAAAATGAATATTGAATTAATTTACAAATATTTCCAATTAATACTCAAGACAAATAAAATTTATTGCTTTTATTTAACTTTTTATATTTGAATTGCGTTTGAATAATTATAATAATTATCTATGACATTTATTTTGAACTTAACAATGAATCAAAATTTTTAATGAAATATTTGCTACCATTGATTATTCATTGTGATCAGTCTTCTGTATATTCTGACGTAAATGCATTATGTTGCAATTATGATATAGCGTTTGATTAAATGTAATGCTTTATACTCTGCAGATGGCGCTAACATGTGAATTTGGATTACGAGTGTTTAAGATAATTTATTAAAATACAAATTAATATTTTGTTTTTCTATTTAAATAATATTGAAATTCAATGAAAATATTGCATTTAAAATCATGTTTTACGTTCAATAACTTCGATAGCTGATAGAAATTGAATACTCGATAAAAGTTTTTTTGATAATGCCTGACTCATTTGTGTCAATCTTAGATAATAAAAGTATATTTATTATGCACAAATGTAGTAATTCTTTGCATTTGAAAGATCACAATAATTCATCGAATTTTTTAAGTTTTTGAAGTTTGAACTTTTGGATTTTAAAGAATATTAGTGTTTTTATATATGATAAATAATGAAATAGATTTTTAAAAATTATTCTAAATAATATATTAGTTGATTTCTGGATGAATAAGAAATGGCTTTGTTCATTGAACTTGTTTTTTTATCCTTAATTTCTCTCACAGTATGTAATGTTATTTACTATCAACCTGAAGCTGTTCATCTTGCTTATGGAGGTAATATATATTCTAATTATTTATCTCGTTAATACATTGTTTCTTTTTTTTAAATTTTCTTATCATCAATGGAATATGATATATATATTTTATAACTTTCAGATAATATTCATGATATTGTTGTAACATGGGCCACAAAGAATAATACTCAAGAATCAATTGTGGAATATGGAATAAATGGATTAATTCTAACAGCTACAGGAAATTCTACTCTCTTTGTTGATGGTGGGAATGAAAAACAAAAACAATACATTCACAGAGTATGGTTAAAAAATTTAACACCTAATACCAAGTATAGTAAGTAAAATAACTTTTTAGTTATTTGTCATATTCTATACTTATTTTATAAAGTGTATATATATAAATCTTTTAATAGTTTATCACTGTGGTAGCAAATATGGATGGTCCAATATATTCTATTTGAAAACTATTCCTGAGGAATCAACAAAGTGGTCACCTCACATTGTTATCTTTGGTGATATGGGTAATGAAAATGCTCAAAGTTTATCTAGATTGCAAGAAGAAGCACAACGTGGATTATATAATGCAGCGATTCATATTGGAGATTTTGCATATGATATGAATTCTGATAATGCACGTGTTGGTGATGAATTCATGAAACAAATAGAAGGAATTGCTGCTTATTTACCATATATGACAGTACCTGGTAATCACGAAGAAAAATATAATTTTAGTAATTATAGGTCAGAATATATTTTAAGCTTAAAACTATTTTGGTTAATTTATTTTTATAATTTCTCAATTGTTATAATGTAAATCTAATAGGTTTCGTTTTACTATGCCTGGAGATTCTGAAGGTTTATGGTACAGTTTTAATATAGGACCTGTACACTTTGTAGGAATAGAAACAGAAGCTTACTATTTTATGAATTATGGTATAAAACAACTTGTTAAACAATATGAATGGTTAAAAAAAGATTTAATGGAAGCAAATATGCCTAAAAATAGGTAGATTTATATATTTCTTTGTCATATTGCAGAATTAATAATTAAGAATTAAAAATTATTTAATAACAAAATTTTTAGGGCACAAAGACCATGGATAGTTATATTTGGTCATAGACCAATGTATTGCAGTAATGCAAATGCCGATGATTGCACTAATCACGAAAGTTTAGTCAGAGTTGGTTTGCCAATTGTAAATTGGTTTGGTCTTGAAGATCTTTTTTTCAAATACAAAGTAGATTTATTGTTATGGGCTCATGAACATAGTTATGAACGTTTATGGCCTGTCTACAACTTCAAGGTAATCTACAATTATGAAGCGATATCTTTAATTTCATTTAAAATAAGAAAAATAAAATAATCATAGGTACAAAATGGTAGTTATGAAAAGCCATATAAAAACTATAAGGCACCTGTACATATAGTAACTGGGTCAGCAGGATGTAAGGAAGGACGTGAAAAATTTATTTCACATAAACCAAGTTGGTCTGCCTATCGCAGCTCTGATTATGGATATACTAGGATGAAAGCATATAATCAAACACATCTTTATCTTGAACAGGTATTAGCTAACATGGAAAAAAAAGGTACAAGGAATGTTTGTTGTAATTCATTTTACAATTTGTCATTTACAGGTATCCGATGACAAGGAAGGTGCTGTTTTGGACCATGTTTGGCTCATAAAAGATGATATCTTACCAGCATACAATTTAAATCTTCTTGATAAATAAAATATATAAAACATAAAATATAGAATATAATTTAGGATGAATTAAAACAATATTTAAATATTTCTTTTCTGCTTTGTATCTCTTTTATGGTAAATAGCAAAATTGCATATCTACCAACTTTAAAGACAATTTACTTTCATTCTATTTTAAAAAATTTCCTATTCCTTTCTGCATAGAAACAAATAAACTACAAAAATTTGCTAATTACAAATGAGATGGAAATTATTAATAATGCATACGTACAATATAATCCTTTAATTGTTAAAATATAAATATATGTATATATAATCATTATAGCATATAATATTAATAATATAATATTAGGGTAGCATTTCATATTTCCATCTGATTCTCACAGTAAATCATTATTTGTCAATGATACATGATGAATAATACGATTCGTACTAAGGAAAAAGAATATTTCCGAATTTGAGTACTAATATAACAAAGAAACGCTTTCTTTTAATGCTATAAATTTCTGATATACATAATAATTCAATTAAAGCTGTTAATATTTCTATGCCTCTACTTTTAAAATGGAGAATCCATTTGTCCATTGACTGGCTCCTTGTCAAGTGTAATTTGCTATGTTGGCTTCTGTTATAATATTTGACTAATAAATTTAGAAAAAATAACAAGGAACTGCTTTTCTATAAATTATTATGTTAGAATCGACAACGAAGCCAAAATATCGAATAATATTGTCATTAAAAAAAAAAATTGTAGCTACGATTATCAAATATCGTTCCTCCAAATATAGAAGAAACATGCCACTCTTTATAGCGTAACATAATTTAGGGGACAAGCTTAACTTTTATCTCTCTTATTTTGCTTTCGATTTAAATTAACATTCAATCCCCATTATATCACCGCGAACCTACTCAGCAGGTATAAATATTAATTTAATTGAATCTTATGGTACATAATTTTTTCATGTACAATTTCAATGAGTATGTGCATGTATGCGCACGTAAACGCAACCACACTAATCTGCCATTGGAGATATGTGTTAAAACCTTTTAAAGATGCATAAAAAAGCATCATAAATTAGAGAAAATAACTAATATTTCAATTTATCTGTATAACAAAAAATTCTTCCAAATTAGTAGACAAAAGAACGAATATTCGTCATAAAATCGAATGTCTCTGACTTTTTCATGCATTTAGCCTTAACATTTCAATATGTGAACAAAGAAAACGTTTGATACTGTCAGTGATTAATGGAAACAATGGAAGAAGTTGCTGCCGAGTGACTTTCCTGATAAGAAAATTGGGGAAAATGCTCTTGTTCTTCAGCTATTGAATTTAAACCACCTCCACTACCTAAAAATCCTTGATCAGGCGGCGTAAGTTCTACGCTTTCACCCGTAAATTCACTATCAAAATATCGAGTATCTGTGTCTGATGTTACTTGAGGTTTAAAAGGAGGAGGAATTTTTTTCTGTACAAGATCTGACCAATCAATTGATGAAAAAAATGCATGATCCATTATTTCTTTTGCATCATTAGGTCCACCACCTAATCTTTTGCTTGGATCTTTTATAAGTAATCCTAAAAAAAAGAATTAAAAATTAAAAAATAAAAATATCGATTTTATCCACTATTTACTTACCACCAAGCATATCTTTTGCTTCATTACTGATTGTTCTAGGAAATTTTACTTCTTCCATTACAATAAGCATGAAGAGCTTTTCATGGTCCTTATTATAAAAAGGTAATCGACCACAAATCATTTCATACATAACAACACCAACTCCCCACCAATCTACAGCTCGTCCATAATCATTATCTTCTAACACTTCTGGTGCAAGATATTCAGGAGTTCCACAAAATGTTTTCGTCGTTCTTCCTGTTTTAAATGTTATTACTATTTCTTATCATTTTTAAATCTA